GGACTGAGGCAGGGGTGGGGAACCTTTTTTTTTGCCGAGGGCCATTCGGATATTTATAGCATCAATTGTGGGTCATACAAAATTATCAACTTAAAAATGAATGTGTAGCCTTTCACCTCTTTGTGTGTATAGATCCCCAAACCATATCACTCCCTTCCTCTGTGTAAAGCTTCTTGGGCCTCTCACCCTTTTTCTCTGTGTTCAGCTCCTCAGACCAACTCACTTTTGCCTTCTATATGCTCTCAGGAGGAGGGGGAGAGCCTCCGGAACCATGGCCGGAAGTGGTCACAAATGGGGGGGAAGGGTCCACACTTCTACCACCTGGGTACTACTCGTACTCGCCCAAATGCTCCTGATACTTATCCCGATACCAGAACTTCCGGCATCGGGAAGCCAGACGGCGAGTCATTACACGCCGCCTGGCTTCCTGATTGGCCAGAAAGCCAGCTCCATGCTCCCTCGTGAAAGAAGCTCAGTCTGCTGAAGAATCAACACTTCCAGGCGTATTGATTTCACTGGTTCTCTATTGCCCTCAGCATCAATTTTGCTGGGAGCTCGGCTTACCCTCTGCATACTATTATTATATATGTTACCCTATATGGCTATCAGATAACATTCTTCCAAATACAGTAGGAGTCCTTTAATGGCTATTAAGAGGTAAACCATTTAAAACCTTTTTGCCATCATGAAATACTGAATAGTATGGTATCATTGTTTGCTCACAGTGCAGCATATAACACATTAGTTTGAGGAGTATAAGAATTTGCAATACCACCAGTATTGCCACTTTTCACCCCAACCCCCTCTGTTCTCCACTGTACGTTACCTATGCATATGCATGCTGTGTGTAAAAAATTACCTCTGCTACCTGGAATCTGGGACTATTAACTTTTTTTTGCCAAGTACAGCCACAGGAATCCACTTTCACATAACTGAGTTGAGTTAGGGCATTATTCCCAAGTCCAAATGAAAAAACAAGTTACTTAAAATGCATCTCACAAGGCTTCAATTACTGTGCAAGGACTTGAATGGAATCCAGCTAAGAAATATGTGAAACTTCCAATTCTACCACATAAGGAGCTAAACAAGGCAAAGGAAATATACTGTGGTAACCATAGAAAGGAGAAGGGCAGTTTTTGGTATGTTATTGTCAGGATTAGTTATCCCAATTCTTTCTCTGCAAAGATACACTGAGCATGTTTTGTATAGTACTGTATTTTTCACCACATACCACTAAAATAAAACAGTGACAGGAGGGGGGTCCTCAGTCCCACAACGGGCCTTTATGTCCCATCAGACAGCCACAGATGTCAAACAGAAAGAGCCTGTTCAGGCATAATTATTCATTTACTCAAGAAATTGCTAGTCAGTCTGTGTGATGACCTTGAAAGGCACAAGTTATAAGAGAAGCACAATTCAGAAAATTCTGCAAAAGTGTCTACCAGAAACAAAATATGGTAAAAATAGACCTGTCGATTGAAAGAAATCAGATAAAAATCACATCTGGTTCTCAATTATCCCTCAACTGCATGAAAAAGGGACTCTCTTATTGTTCTGCCATTCTTTTGTTTTCCGCCATAAAAAGCTGACATGAATTGAGCCTTAGAATAAGCATGAGCCACCTTGCATTATTCCCAACAAGCTTTGTCACGGCCTCTCAACTTATTCCCATACTGTCTTGAGCACACAGACACCCCAACAAGCATGCTAAAAATGCAGCTGCTAAGAAATGCAAATACGTCTTTTTAAGCTCATTCCCCTCTCAGCAATATAGAAAATTTGTCTGGAAACCATGGATATTATAACAGAAAGTCACTGAGCTGGAATAATGGATTGCGGTTGCTACGGAGACCTTTTTGAAGTTGCCTTTCTCCCCTAAGTTTGCACATCCAACAGTCACAATCAGAAGCCAAAGGATCGCTGATGCCAAAACTTTAAAACTGCACACAGAATAAAAATACATTTATTGATCTGTGAAAAGTAAAACTGCAGGTACTGAGTGAGCACATTTCCGAAACAAACGTCTCACGAAGCTTAAACAGCAGCACAAACTCAACTGTAGGCTGGGAAAAAAATACGCAAACCAACATGTAGGGTTTATGTGGTGGTGTAAGGTTTGGCTGGGGTACCATAGAACGCAGCCAAGTTATAAAACTATGTTATTACTGCTCTGTTTTGTTGGACATAATGAGCATAATGCATATTAAAAGCATCTTGTAAAACCTAATGATGCAGTAGGTTTCAAAATATAAAGGGAATCACTGCCAGTTTATAGATGGGAAATAAACGTTCCTAGTAAATGCTGAGCTGGTAACTGCACGATTGCCAGCCTGCTTTATTTTTACCATTTCCTTCACCCTCTGTGTAAAAGTATATTTCCTGTAATCCAATGCTAAGATACAAATCATTGATTTGTCATTTTATACATCAGTATTCCAGATGAATGCATCCATGTAAGGGCTTTATACAAATGTGTTGACATTGGGTGCAGCATTAAATTCACCAGGGGATATGCTCTATCAAGATGATGATTCATCTCAGCTAAACTAGAATTTAGGCACAGGTTAAAGTTATTACATTTTCTGCGCATTTAGCAACAATAAACACATACCATAACATGGAATTGGCAAGGAAAATAAAACCATGGTGCACAGATCATTCACCCATGTAACATTTATAGAATGTAGATACACAGTGAAACTATAAAGCAAGGCAGAAAAAACAATCAGGGGACTGAACACCCAGTAAAATATATGGTAATAAAACCTCTGCTTGCCATGTAAGACAAAAAAACAGAAGTTGCACATGTATCTGGCAGATATGACAGCACACCCAGTTATGTTTCATCAAGAGACATTTAAATCAATTTACATCCAACTTGATGACACAAAGTAATAGATTGCTGCTTCTGTTATAGTCCATCAAAAGGCTTTGGGTCTTAATGTAGGACAGGTAATATTTGCAGACAATTGTTAGAATGTCAAGATCAACCATACATGATAACAATATACACAGGGAGGCTGGGGAGGAGTACTGTGGCTTGGTACAAGCTGTGGGGAAATGTGATATGTATCACAATAGGCAGCAGTAGGCTGGTAGCTCAACAGTAACACAAAGGCAAGTAGACACTCAGTCTAATTAAACGAGACAGTGCAAAAGACTGTGGTGTGCAGTAACCCCTAGTAACCAATAAGATGTCACCTTTTGTCTGCTTAGAGCTGTCAGAACAATGGAAGATGATTGCAGGTCAGTTATGTGTTACTTTTCTGTAGCGGTTGATTTATATGTTATCAAATAAAGGCCACTGAGGTACATTTAGACAGCGTAATGCAAAAAATGGTGATGTGCAATTATCCACAGCTACCAATCACACATCAGCTGACTCCTTTAAATGATTTAAAAGCTAATGTGTGACTGGTGGCTGGGGATAAGTGCACACTATTGTGTTTTTTAAAAGCCATTTTGCAAAGAAACAAAATAATTATCCATGATCAGGCAATCCACTAATTCAATGCATAAAAACACATTTCTAAACACCACAGCCTATCTGAAAGAGCTCCAAAGAAGCAGAGTTAAAAGCAATGCACATTGAGCAGAAACTTACTGTGTCATTACACCAGCTATTCACAACCTGGGTTCCATGGAACTCTAGGGTTCCCCAGAAGTTTGAAGGGGTTTCCCGAGCTGTAGCAGGTTGACCTCCCACCTCATGGAGTCTGCATGGTTCAAGATCCAACCCCACTTGGCAGAGCCAGCAGAATAACACCAATGGTCTTTCTAGCTGTCTGGGACAGTGGCATTCTGACAAGCACTGTAAATGGGGAATCTTCCTAATGACCACCAACATAAGGGGCATTTTGACCACCACTGTAAGAGGTGCATTCCTCTCACTGACCACCAACATAAGGAGAGCATTCTTCCTGCTGACCACAGATGTAAGGGGCATTATGACCACCATTTTTAAGGAGAACATTCTTCCTGCAGACCACAGATGTAAGGGGCATTATGACCACCATTTTTAAGGAGAGCATTCTTTCTGCAGACCACAAATGTAAGGGGCATTGTGACCACCATTTTTAAGGAGAGCATTCTTTCTGCTGACCACAAATGTAAGGGGCATTATGACCACCATTTTTAAAGAGAACATTCTTCCTGCAGACCACAAATGCAAGGGGCATTATGACCACCATTTTTAAGGAGAGCATTCTTCCTGTTAACCACAAATGTAAGGGGCATTATGACCACCATTTTTAAGGAGAGCATTCTTTCTGCTGACCACAAATGTAAGGGGCATTATAACCACCATTTTTCAGGAGATCATTCTTTCTGCTGACCACAAATGTAAGGGGCATTATCCCCACTAGTTTTAAGGAGAGCATTCTTCCTGCAGACCACAAATGCAAGGGGTATTATGACCACCATTTTTAAGAGGAACATTCTTCCTGCTGACCACAAATGTAAGGGAAATTATGACCACTAATTTTAGGGAGAGAATTCTTCCTGCAGACCACAAATGTAATGGGCATTATGACCACTATTTTTAGGGAGAGCCTTCTACCCCCTGACCACCCCTGTAAGGAACAATGACTACCAATGTGGGGTCAACATCTCCCACTGACCACCACTGTAAAAAACATTCTTCCCAAAATGAATCAATTTTAGCAGGGGTTCCCAGACACCTAAAAATTATTTTAAAGGTTCCTGAAAAGGTTGAGAAAGACTGCTTCACACTGCATTACCTATTACCCTTAAGTAGCAGCAGAGTAGTGTTGATGTAATGAGAATTATTTACAAACATCTATTCATACAAAGGAACAAACACAATTTCCAAGAGCCCTGAGCCAGCTGTAAGTAGCAGGGATCTGCTGGTGTAGGAAGACCCTCTAGGGGAGATGAGGTGAAGAGAGAAATGTGTTAGGTGCCAGGAGACAGCAGGCAGACAGATGCCAGTGCATTGGACATGCCATGATGAGTGAAGGGATGTGGGGAAGTAAGCTCACCGCTCTGCAGGGTGTTTTCACATTTCCACGCGCCCAGTTTCTTGCAAGACTCCCAGAGGGAAAGGTAGTACTGGTTGTCCGCCGTCACCCAGGCTGGGCTCAGAACGGCTCCGATGTCCAGACACAGGGCCAGGAAGATGCACACAAGTCCCACCAGCTTCAGAGGGGTGAGGACCGAGGAGCGCACTTCCTCCATCCCGCTGGCAGATGAAGCCATGCTCCCCTCCCAGGTTTCAGCAACTACGATAGATGGAAGGTACTGAAGGTGCCAAAGCCTCCAACTCCCAGGACACTTCGGGAAGTGTAGTTACAAGTGCGATGACAGGTGGGGTGGTATTATGTGATGCCTCCGCTCAGTGGTGATGATGACAGTCCAGTCTCCTTCTTGTGTGCCAGATGCTGCTTGCTGCACCCTGTTCCAGGACACAAGCGAACTGTTAACCAGTGACCTCCGTCTTTGCATAACTCCCTCCCTCCTTCCTCTCCTTTCTTTGCCTTGTTCTTCTCTGCTCTCTCCCTCTCTCCTCCTGCTGGCTGCAAGGGGGCACCGGCCAAGCTGCTGACGTCACTGGCAGCACCGGAGGAGGGACAGACAGGGGAGCACGGTAACAATGACAAGCACGGAGAGCCGAGGAGTCACACGGAGTGGATGTGATCTCCTACAGATACCTAGCAGAACGAGGATGATGGGAGTCTTGTGCGGATCGGGTGTGTTGTGTGCTCCTCCGGTCAGCTGCCTATCTTGTAGGGTGATCGGTGCAGAGATGAGGCACTGGCAGGGGTAATGTTCACCAAACAGAATCTGAAGTGGATTTCCACTTTTGTAGCCAAAATTGGGAGAATGTCTACTTTATGTTTCTTACATCTCCCCATTCATATAAAAAAAATGCTGCTTGCATGTGCTTGCATTCTAAATGCAACTAAACCCAAGAGTTAAATCTTAAAAATGCATTCAGGTATCTTACAACTATTAACAAAAATGTATCTTATTTGTGTATCAAACAGCAAATGAACAGGAATTACCAGCACTCAGTGGAAAATATTCAAACGGTAAAGTCCATTTAATCGGACAAATCATCATACATGTTGCAATAATTATAACTGATGTTTCGGGGTCACGCAGGGATCCTTCATCAGGGCAACAATGTAACAAGCAGGGGACATATTGGACTTTATTTGTGTATCACTCAGCTGTAGATCCTCAAATCATCTCTGAATTGGTGCTGACACTGTCCTTCCTTCTGAAGGGTGGCTACTTTTGTTCCCCAAGGTCCCTTTGTGTGTTGCAAAGTAGCCATTGTTCCAAGCTCGCTCCTGTGATGGACTACAATCTCAATACAAATTAGTAAACTGAACGTGAGATTGTAGTCCATCACTGGAGGGAGCACAGTCCCTTGACTATTTTACAACACAAACAGGGACCATGGGCAACAATAGTAGCCACCCTCCAGAAGGAAGTACAGTGTCAGCACCAATTCAGAGATGATTTGAGGATCTACAGCCCAGTTTATTTTTATAAACATTTATATATTTATGTAATTAATTTTACAATTTTTTTTACTTAATTGCTATATCACATAAGGGGGTTAGTGGTGACAGGTGCTCTTTAAGGTGACACTAGGGGTCCAATAGACCCCTCGTATCACCACTAGGGGGGGAAGCACCATACCAACCCCTGAAAGCGATCTTCTGGCAGCTCAGCCGCCAGAATCACTTCATGTGTAAGGCTGACAGTCAGCTTTTCACATGTAAACAGAGTCCCAGCAGCTATAGCCTGTTTAAAGGGGCCTATTACCAGTGACATATGACATGGCATTAGTTACACCTATTTTTAATAGTAACTCTCAAGCAACCAGAAACTACATTTATCTGGAATCTACCAATCCCTGTGGATGCAGGATAACAGGGAGTTTAGTGTATAGACATGCCCAATTTCAACATCTGCAGTGGAAACCTGCTGACAATGATGTGTCGAGACTACATTTAAATGGAATAAATAATGGTCAGACATAATACAATGCGTGCTTTCAGTTCACTTTTCCTAAAAAAGGGTCATATGTTCATCTTGCATCGTACAGCACATGTAGCGATTTCTCTTTTCATGCAACCTAGTTTGAAGAGCTGCATTAGTGAGATTTAAAAAGTGTTTCCCGAGAAAGGAATTACATTGCAACAGTGAATTTCTGACTATTTAACACAGCAGTGCAAAAAACAGTGGTATGTAACAAATTACCAGTAGGTTTCTGACAGCTTATTGTGGGCAGACTAATGAAAGCTGGCAACTTCCTATGAGTTAGCTAGGTGGAGGGGAATAGGTGAAAACTATTCCACATTTGAATATTATTATTTAGTTGCTGTGTTTTAGTGTTGGGATGGGCATGCTTTGCTGTGTTATAGCAACTAGCAAGCTTTTATTAGTCCAAACAAATAATCTGACACAAATGCACCCACACTGGCTGATAGCAAAGCCAGTTGCCTGCAACTTAACACCTTTTTGGTTCACCTCAAAGCAGAACTTTGGGCAAAAGTGTTATTAGCCCTTGCAGTGGGGCTCTCCCAGCACTACAAGGGTTAAGTGTTCATTTTTGTCTAGGTGCTAAAATAACAAAGATATACTCACCTTATTATTGGCCCTGTCTGGCTGCTAGACAGGACCTTGCAGCCTCTCTCCCCCTCCACTCCAGCAGTCTAAGGATCCGTAAGTTATACCCACCCGAAACATGGAACCGGCTGCTACTCCAGTCCCTCCAGCCTCTCTCCTCCTCCACTGCAGCGATAGTATATCCCTCAGCATCCTTACATCCTGTACACTGTTTATAGAATGTGATGACACAAGGATCCTTAGACCGCTGCAGAGAGAGGCTCCAGGAACCGGTCTAAAAGCAAGCCGGCTCCGAGAATCTGGTATATATATTTACCAGAGTATAACCAGAGTATAATTTTTTTTAGCACCTAGACAAAAATGAGCATTTAACCCTTGCAGTGCGGGTGTAGACCCATTACAAGGGCTAAGAACACTTTTGCCTTGAGTTCTGCTTCAAAGACCCGTTCACACCAGATATGTTGGGGATGTGCTGGACGCTTTTTCCAAACACAGCCTCAACACACATTTTGTTTCATTTTGTTCCGAAATGAAATTCGTACACATTTCTGTAAATTCAGACATTCAGATGCATTCAAATTTCCGAACGACACAAATAATGAATCTGAAGGAGTCAGAATGTTTTATAATGAAATTTGGATACGTTTGAATTTTACTCGGAAACTAAACACAACAAGTGGTAGAGCTGTCATTTACCGCTCTCTGGCTTCTCTGCACTTGTATCTCAAATGAAAACAAAGTAACGCAATATTGTTACAAAATGTAAATACTGAAAGAAACTGAGAGATCTGTGTTATTCTGTAACAGCCTCTGCTTCTTTGAGGACACTTCGTCCCGTAAAGAATCTGACAGCTGTCACAGAATACACTAAATTGTTAAACTGTTGACAGAATAAGCCCTTTTAAGTCTGGTAGGAATGTTAGGGTGAACCCCATGTTGAATAGCATGCGGTTCCCTGGCAACCTACCCTTTAGGTCTGGTTGGAATTTTAAGGGGGAGCCCCAACGCCAAAAAAGTAAAAAAAAAGGGGTCCCCCTAAAATCCCATACTAGGCCCTCAATCCGGGCAGCAGCCTGGTAGGGCAGGACATGGGGGGATGAGCGAGTGCCCCCCCTTCCCTCCACCGTACCAGGCCCCATTCCCTCTGCATTGGGAGGGTGCTTTTCCAGGGGGGGTACCTGCTTTTCTAGGAGGGAAAAGGGCCTGTTCCCCACAACCCTGACCCGGTGGTTGTGGGGGTCTGTGGGCAGTGGGACTCATCTGCATTTGGGTACCCCCTTTCATAAAGGGGGCACTCAGATACCACCACGCCACTTGTGAATGAGTAAGGGGTACCTGTACTCCTACTCATTCATGAAAGGGTTGAACTAAAACACACCACAACTTAGCAAAAATGTATTTAATTGAACAAAAAACAAAACAGGATTTTTTGACGATTCCTGTATTTAAAATACATTTTTAAAAATGTCCCACAAAGTCATTCCAGTGTTGGCCACCAATTGAAAAAAAACAAAACTCCTCAATGCAATGTTTACATCGGGCAGTGGGCAGAAATAAACAA